CAGCTTTGGAAAATCCCCAGTTGTTTCGGAGCACGAGTCAAGGCTGGACACGAGATTTGAAGCTTCTATGGCTGTGGGGCACGCTGCTCACGCTTTTTGACACCATTCTTTAGGTTGTTGCTGATGCCAGCTTCATCCGTGCAGCACTTGGTGTCCCAATCCGCCCCTTCGGTGCTGCTGGTCTCTCCCGAGACTGAGATTGCGGGAAAGCGAGTGTTGAAAGTGAGTTCTCAACACATACACAGTGATCAAACGTTTGCCCCCGGGAAGTACTTGTACGGCTCAGCATAGCATTTCGGCTCAGCACGCTCTTGGTTCTCAAAACCTAACCCGGCTGATCTTGCCCAACGATTTCGTCAGCAGTTTCGTCGAATTGGGAATCTCGAAGGTAACATAGGCGGCCTCAAACTTTCAGGCACACAGCAACGTCGAACTTTGCGATTTCCTTCTTGAGACTCAAGTAAAGCCCTTCTTGGACCAGCCAAAGGCACCACTCATTGCGCTCCTGGCAGCACTTGACATGCCTTTGCGGCTGTGACCTGAATGCCCCGATTATTTGTGTCTAAACTTCCGTGAAATCGTAGTAGTTCTTGCATCTCAAACCGGCACTTCGGCACACTACAGACGTTTGATGTCGAAGACCGCCCGTTGCTCCTGCGGCTGAACAAGGGCGCGCTGGCGGAAGCGGTTGCCTCTGGCTCAAAGGTCCTGCCTCCGATGTACAAAAGTGTAGTGGATGGCGAAATGAACGGCGATCCGGCGGAAAGCAACGGTGCAAAGGGGGGCCACGTGGGCGCGGCAGAAGTGAAGGTTTGGGACTACTCTGAGGTGGGAAGAATGGGCGAGTATTGATGACGCTAATGATAGTTGATATAACCCAGTGGTTATGATCTGTACGACCAGTTCTGAGGTTCGAGCAGGCTGCTTTTGAACGGCGGAGAGCCGCTTGTACGTGAGTTCTTAGAAATCAGGTTTGAGAATCGAGAGATAGTCCGCCACGCATATCGGTAATGCACTGTGGAAAAGTAGAACAGGTGTTGTGGAACAGCTTTTATGACAGGCTTGCATTGGTTTGGATGGACTTGCTGTCACGAGGCCCAGTCTGCTCTCGTCCAAATTTCAAAACCAATTACAGTCTACGTTTGTGGTGCTATTCGAACACGAAAGAGGACTCTACGAAGCTTGGAGCTTTGAAAAATGATGCCTTTTCTGAAATCGGTGCGGGACAAGGGGGTAATACATGGCTTGCTTAATTGGAAACTGACCGTCGGATGTTTCTGCCGCGCCCCAGGCATCTGCTCCGGCAGTCATTATGCACACGGGAGGTACCACCGGGCTGCCCAAGCAGGTCGTTCGCAGCCACGACAGCCTGGTCGAAGTAGCGCGTGCGACTGAGGTGAGCGGTCGCAGGAATGATTGTAACGCCCAATCTGAGACGACGAGATTCGAGATGACGTGACGGAGCGATGGACCATAAACGAGTGCCTCTGCCAGAGCTTCCGGCCTTCGCCCTTTGGCTTGACCGATACTACCAGATTGCCTTCCGTCTCGGCACACTTCAGAGCTTCAAAACTGCCGCTAGCACTTCTAACTGCCCCAAGGCACGTCCGTAAACCCGCCCTTGTTGTCGTCTTCAGAAACCTAGATCAAAATAACTCGTCTCGCCTTTCAAATGCCTCCCGTGCTCCTTTTCTTCACTCTGTTTCTTTCTTTCGGCGCCCAGCCTTTTCCCCACTTCTTCATTTGGCCTGGACTTCATCGCGTAAAGCCGATGAATTTTTGGTCAGGAGCATCCTGGTGTCCGTTTGTCTTTCATTCCTCTTGCTTCTCCTTTTCGTGAGCTTTAGGAGTTCTAGAGCCTTAGGCTTTTCAAAATCATTACGCCTCTTTGCCGCGCAGGACCTGGACTCATCAAACGCTCCCCCGGGGACTTCGCCCATCCAGTTGGGCTGGATGCCCCTGTTTCATGTGGTCGGGTTCTTCGAAATCGGCGTGCCCCTCTACTCGGGCTTGCCCTACTACTCGGCTACGGTGCGTTTCGGACGTTTCCCTTTCTTCTCAAATTCGGCGTTTTCCAAAGGTCTAGCTTCATGTTGAGATTCACCTTTTAAGAAGGCTGAGTCCTCAAATTTTCGCGGTCGATACGACTTAGTCAGCCACCGGCGGAGTTCCATCGAGTTGCTGTCCTCAGCTAAGGGTGAAACCCGCTCAGAAACACGGAGATCTTCCATCGACAGTTCGAAGAGTCTACCTTCGTCCCGGTCAAAGCTAATTTGCGCTTCGAATGCTCTACGTCAAAAGAGAAGATTTAAATCCGAAGGGTCGCCGCCTCTTGGAATCGACACAAAAGTATTCAAAATCCCCATCAAAGCTTGAGAGATCCACAGAAGACATCAAACGATCGTGAAAGTGCTAAGTCCGTTTTGTTTGAAGGGAACCTGCTTGCTCCGCTGGCGGCATGTTCCTTGCCTCCTTATTGCTCTGCGCTCTGCCAGAAGCTGCTCCTCTAAGCGACAAGCGCAGCGTCCAGAGATTTGAGTCTCCAGATTCGTCTCGCCGAGCGCACAATTAGTGCAAATTCGCGAAGGCATTTCTCGATGAAAGTTCTTCCTGCGTCGTCCAAACCCTTGATCCTTTAACGTTTCGAAATTGTAAAACCCCGACACGCAGTTCGCGTCCGCGCCGACCCCCGAGGGCCTCCTTCAGGCGATCGAGGACAGCGGGTCGCACCTCATGTTCGCGGTCCCCATCATCGTCGAGCAGTGGTGCCACATGGTCAAACGGGAAGAGGAACCGCACGGGTAGGGCCTTTCGTCGGTCCCCGTACAATTTCTTCGTTCGCAGAAGATAAGATGGAATCTTATCTTCCTGCCAAGGAAGGAACGGAACTGGATTTAACAGGCCAAGAAAGCCTGTTCTTTGGCTATCCGGCTAAACATAGGTAAAGCACTCCGTCGTACCCGCTTGTCATTCTGAAACATGGTTGGAAGGTGCAAGCAACGAACATTGCAGGATCATGTCGATATTTACAACGAGTCAGATTCTGGTAAGCTTTGCCCGCGCGAAACCAGCGCAGTCACCTGATTTATCAACATCTGGCGCGCTATCTCCAAAGGAAGAAGATCTGATGCCTGCGTTTGTGCTATGCGCGCAGGGATTCCAAGACGCTGTCAACACTCTTAACACTACACTCGCTGAAGTGCTGCGGAGCACCGCTGGCTGACTGGGCGTGGAAGTTCATGGTGTCAAGGTAAAGCCCTATGATTGCATCCGATTAATCAGCCGATCTATTTGACTAAAGCGGATACATCTCTGCTTCCCCGCAATTCTACATTGTTTGCAGTGTATCGAGTTTCACGCCTCACCTTGAACGCTAGCGAGTGCGAAGGCAAAGCAAAGGTTCGTATCAAGATATTTTTGCCATTGTTGCCTGGCACTGACACAAGGAGGGTCCAATCAAGCATCTGTCACAAAATGCCTGTTCGAGCAGATCGAAAGATGCATAAACGCAGTCAAACTTGAAAACCATCAGCCAAGATTGTCAAACCCTTCAAAGTCCCAAGGAAAACCGTGTCTTGGAACCGTGCCTCCTAGATCTAAACGGGGCCCCTCTTAGGCGGAAATCGGGCGACCTAGTGCGCAGCATCGCAGGCTTATGGTCCCCCTCGAGCTCACCTATTCTCCGCACACTCTCCCCAACTCCATAATCGTCATCTCTCCTCTTAAGGTTACATACGCTATTTACTTCTTTTCCCAGGGGCGTCCGCTTGATCAACGGTTATGGCACCACGGAGATTGGCGCTGTGGCGATCGGTATTCCCGGGGGGGGGCCTACGCGTAGTGCACTCAGACTGCCGGGACCCCGGTGGGCAGATCACGTGCGATTTGTGGAGAGCCCCGTGCCTGGGCACGTCATATTAGGCGCTCTGGCGACTCTTCCGGGAATCGCGCAGGGGTACTTACAGTCGGTGGATCGGCAAACCGGGCAGATGAAGGTGGGAGGGGGGCAAAACATCCAACTCCTAATCTTGATATTTCATCTTTCTCTTCCATGCTCTTCGTGTAATCCGACAGCAGAGCCCAATCAAATGAAACTAGACCGAGATTAGCGCAGGAGTTCTTGCAGTCGGTATCTTGACAAGCCGGACACATGAAGGTGGGACGGGAGACAGATATCTGCTCATACCCTTCCTGTTTCGCATGCTTTCTTTAGATGCTTTGTTTCGGTTCTTTTGCGTGTAGAATGCCAGCATAGCGAAAACGAGGAAAGAAAAGAATGCACGAGAGTAGAACCAGATGGCACGTTCTGCTGGTGATTCGAGCTTGTGCTTAACAGTCAACGATCCATGCTGTCGCGGCTGCTTCGGTAAATGCAGAATCCTGCCACTCTGATGCCGTCATCTCATCGTAATTTCACCCTTACACCCTCTATAAGCTCACTTTTCACCTTTCCTTAACCTCCTGTAACTTGATTGTAACCTCTGTTACGACTGCAAATCTTTCTACAGCTGCCGCCCTCTCACCCCATCCCGGGCGACCTCTTCCCACCCTTTCGATGCCCTTCCTAAACCCACTTACAACCCTCTGTAAACGACCTCAAACCCTCTTACAGATCCGCCCTCTCGCCCCGTCTTCCGACGTCCCCTACCAAACGGGCGACCTCTTCCTGGTCTACCCCCCATCCTCTGACGGCGCCACGTGGATCGAGTCTGTCATCCGGGCCGACAACTTGCTGGTCCACTCGACCGGGGAGAAAACCAACCCGACAGCCTTCGAGGGGGCGGTCCAGGAGCTGCCGTTTGTTCAGGTCAGGCTGCTAGCCCACCAGATTTAGGCAAGATGGTTAGGAACATCTACTTCCGCAGGGTTGCCGTGGGACGCGTCAGCTCTGGAAGGTTCTTTACGTGTTAAACAAGAAGGTGAACTAGTGCTGTTTCAGTGTCTGCTAGTGTTGGAGACGCTGCCAGTTCTCCCCTGCGCGAAAAGCTGGGCCGTTAGCGTAAGGAAGATTTACGTCAGCATGCGACTGCAGCTAAAATGAGAGCAGTCGAGCAGATACCACTTGCTCGCGAAGTATCACTGAGCTAGTGCAGGGGACGTGGCACCCGTTCCTGATCAGCGATACCGCGCTGTCGGCTTTGATTGGAAATCATCTGCAAAATGACACGTGTCACTTGCAGGATGCGATCGCAGTGGGCAGCGGTTACCCGCGGCCGGGGCTGGTCGTCAAACCGGACTGGGCGGCTGTGGAGCAGCTGACGTCAGCAGGTCAGGACCAGGAGGTACGTCAGATCCAGCTTTAACTCAAATTGTTTTCTCATCTGCAAGAGATCTCGCGGTAACGTCTGGCTGAATGGCTAGAACAGGAAGAATGGTGCACCCAATCCGTCGCTCGAACATTCGTGACTTCTGTGACCTTTGAAAGCGAGAGATGCTCGGGAGCTTCCTCGTAACTGAAAAATCTTGCTTGGAGCTGAGCTTTGATATTGCCTTCTAAGGTCCTTTGGTGAACCCTTGCGGAGTTGGCCCGCGATAGGTCCCACCTCACTGCTTCTGCTGATGAACCAGCTATTTCTACAAGCAGTTTCGTCTCATGCTCGCAAGTACAAGGAAAGATTGCAAGAAATGCAAGAGAAGGTGTCAGTTGCTGACCCCATCGATCGCTCCAGAAAACAAGGTTGCTGCTGATCTCTTGACGTTTGAATCGTCAGACAGCCCAATCCGCAGCCTTCCAAACCGACCACTTCGAGGCTTCACTTTTGTGTTCAACTTAATCAATTTGTGTCGTGAAAAACTTCTATCCTCCTCCTCTTTCAGGAGTGGGTCCGAGGCCAGGTGTGGGCTTTGGTCCAGGCCATCAACAAGAGGATGCCGTCCAGCTCGTGGGTCGCGCGAGGAGCGATCTGCGTTCTTTCCCAAGAAGATTCTCAAAAGGTGGGGCGGTTTCCTGCTAGCAGGAATCTGGTTTTCTGCACCCAATATTTTCTTTCTGAGGAGCATCGGAGTGTGGGTCGACGTGAAGGAAATAGGTGTGACTGCCGTTACTTCAAAAGGTCATTCAAAACTTTTCCAAGCTAAAGGGTCCGTCGGACGATTCACGTGTCAATCTTCTGCAATAATTCGCTGCCGGATTCCTTGAAGGTGGCCTACGTGGATGAAGTTCTCCTCCCGCGCTTCGGGAAACTTGAGATTATAAGCAGAAATTACAGACGAGTTGAGGATAACGCAAAGAGCGGGAACCCTGCTTCGCTACATTACGTTTCACTGACCATGTTCCTTCCACAGGTCACCTTCCCCCGGACGGTCAAGGGCGAGATAGCACGTGGCCCAGCGAACGAGCTCCTGAAGAGCCACGTGGCAGCCATGTACGCGGGTCTTGAAGCACTGTCAGAAAATTCGGTTCCTCCAGTTACAAACGCTGCACAGACGAAGGTCAGCGCTTTCAATCTTCAAAAAATGAGCTTCATCTGAAGATACTCATGCCATTGCATGGCAGCCGGTCTTTTGAATTGAGGTTAATCTTCGTTTTCTTAATGGCAGCACTCTCATTTCTTGGACGTCCTTGTATCGATCTGCTTACTCAACCTCCCGACTTTTACGGAAAGCCTGTGTCAATTCTGCTCGTTTAATAGATCCACATTGACCCGTCAGCTGAAGCTGGCAACGCCAAGGTGCTTCGTACCCGTGGCTAAATGAAAGAAGACTGACCAGAGGTTTCTATGAGATTCTTCTGTAGCTTGTTTGAAGATAGTAAGAGGTGTTTACTGAGGTCTTCTGAAGCGCTGTCGAACACTGAAAATCCTCAAATGGAGGCCCCGACCGAAACGAGGTCTTTTGTCATACTTGCAGGAAAAGGAAGTGACATTCAACAGAGTTCTGGACACCGTCCGCCGGACAGCCGCCCAAGTCCTGGGACTGGATGCGCAAGAACTGGACGCTCAGTCCGGGGGCAAAGCACCCCCGCTTCTGGACTTGGGCCTCAGCAGTCTGACAGCGACCGAGCTGGCCAAGGTAAAGTTTCTCGGGCACTTCTTCTGAGGGTGATTTCAGAGCGCCCAGTTTTGTAATCAAGAACCTCCTTAGGCCCTGCGGTAGCCAAATCTAGTCTGATAGAAGTCCTGACTTTACGCGTTCAGATGACGTAGATTTGTTTTCAGGTTTCAAAAACTGCCTTTGCTTTCTGGGCAGTCTTATCTTGAAGGCTGTGAAGAAGCTATTGTATGAGGTAGAACGAGCGTCCATGCAGTATGCGCAATCCAAATTCAAAGAGCTGGGTTCTTCTCCGCAATCTCTCCTCTCTTTCGCCAAAGTCAGAAGTTTGATTTTATCTCAATCCAGTTCTACTTTCAAATCCAATGTGTCATTTGGCGCAGTTAATCTCCGAGTTCGTGGGGGTCCCCCTTCCGGCGACCATGCTGTACGAGGACGTTCCTGACGTGGTCGCCCTCGCCGAGTGGGCAGCCGCTGCCATGCAAACGAAGACCAAGCATGCAGCGCAATCAAACGGACCGGTGAGAGTATCCGCCTCAAGCGAGCAAGCTGATGTTGTCCTGACGTAAGATAGATGTTCCTTACAGAAAGATCCTTTTCAGAGATTGAAGTTACATCCTTTCGCTAGAAAGATTCTTGAGTGAACCACCGAAGTTCTCTTCATAGCAAGTGAACTTTCCGGGCCGCCTCGTAAGATCAATGTTAGATATCACAAGTAGCTTTTCCGGGCCGCCTCGTAAGATCAATGTTAGATATCACAAGTAGCGTTGAAAGTTGAAGATTTTGCGAAGGTAGAGTTCGCAACCAAGTGAGCGAACTCGAGGGCTCTTACATTCGTCGGCCCAGTACTTCCGCTCTCTTCTTGCTTCTCAATCGCTGACGCCGACATGCTCCATGTGCGCTAACCATTTCACCTCGAGTCGGAGAGAAGCCTGACATATCTTGATGGTTCTCCTTCTTGCATGATTGAGCACATGCGGGATGAAAATACGGCGCTCGTTTCTTTCGTGTGACGTTTTTCAGTCTTTCTGAACCTCCCCGTTTTTGCGTTGCTTTCTTTTTGGAAACGAAGCGAAAGTTGAAATAAGCCCCAGCCTTGCTGTGCGCAGGTCCCTGGTACTCTCCCGAACCACATTTCGGACGGCCTGTCTGAGGTCAAGGGCACCGTTATCCTTCTGACGGGCGCTACTGGGTTCATCGGCTCGCACGTATTACAAGTGAGTTGAGGAGCGACCGAAAGGCAGAGCGGGCCAGCAAAAACGTTGCCGCAATCGTGGAGCTCAAGAATGGCTTTCTATCAGCCCTCTAATGGCACTGCACACGCGTGCGGTCTTTTCTTGAATGGACGTGCATAATCCACAGCTTATCAAGCATTTCGAGCGAACCTCTCAGTGTCCGTTCGCTTCCTATGAAGCGACTAGCCCAGCGAACGGCTGTTTATCCAGAAATCGCGAATGCTGTCCTCGAATTTAATGCGGTCCTCGAATTTTTCATAGGCCTATACTCTAAACGCTCAAAAACCTCAAAACCTCGAGCCCTGCAGGATCTCTTGAGCCGCCCAGCAGACGAGGTGGCGACCGTGGTGTGCCTGGTTTGGGGGCCCTCGGTCGCCGCCTGCCAGTCCCGGCTGCAGCAAGCTCTACTGCGGACGAGCAAGGGGCGGGAATCCGGCACCCGGTGAGGATCCGGAAGGAGAACGGAAGTCGAACCGAAACCTGCGCTAGGCTTGCTGGTGTCTACTGAATGCACTGTCTTCAGAAGCTTTTCAAACAATCCGCGAATCGAGAGTGGAAGCCGAGACCAGGCGAAGTACCTGAAATTTTTGGCTACTTTAAACTCTTCAAATCGTTCTTCGATTTCGCAAATCCGTGTTACCGGGTTCAGCAGAAATGCATATCAAAAGCGAAGAGATCCCTATTCTGAAGCTGCAGTGCAATTCACAGGGTGGCTTCAGCTGCTCGTTTACACAGGCACGGCCTTCAATCTCTTTCTATCTTAGAACGCGAACGTTTTGAACTCAACACGGTCAAAAGGCCAGCAGACAACTTCAAGTTCCAAAGCCTTGGCTTTTCTGTGGTACTTACAAAAAGAAGGAAAACAGCGGTTCGATAAGCAAGAAAAGTAAGTGCTTGTCCTCCAGGTTCGACAGCGCCCGGGTGGTCGTTGTGCTGGGCGACCGGCAGCAGCCGCTCCTGGGGATGACTTCCGACCAGTGGCGCTTCTGGGGAGAGCGCGTTCACACCGTAATCCACTGCGGGGCAGCCGTGCACCTGACCGCAGAGTACGAGAAGCTCGCGGAGGCCAATGTGAAAAGGTGCGGCGCAGAGAATTTGGCTCTCAGCAGACTCAAACGTTCGGCTTGTGTACAGATAGCTGCTTCCGGGATCCGAGGAACGGTAGCACCTTGGGTCTGGGAAAGTTAACATCTAAGTTGGGGGTCATAAAAGCCAAATACGTTTACACTGCAAGTCCGCTGCTGTGTTATTGATTGTTGGTAGAGTTTCGTACGAGGGGCTGACAGCTGTACCTGTACTTGCAGCCTGCAAGAGATTGTTCGCTTCGCCCTTCAAGGGGTGGGACCGCCAAAACCCTTCCAGTTCACATCCAGGTAAACAGGTGCTCTGCCTCTTGACCTTGTCCATTGCCTTCAACGTCGATGAATCTCCGTCACCCTGATCTCTTCGTTCAGTCTCTTCTGACTCCGCAACGGTAATCGATATTCTGTTTGTTCTAGCCCGGTGCATAGTTAACAGCTTAGTAAAATGGGGACGCTCCCCTGCCTCTATTTTAGCGCACCTGGCCACGTGCATTTCCAAGTCCCGTCGACGTTAACATTCTTTAAATTGTTCCTCAGAAGAACGTAAGTGTGTCTGAACGACGAGAAAGCGCCGTAAAAAACTTGACTCAGCCGGTTCTGCTTTCGTCTCAGCGTGTCGGTGGCCTTTCTGCTGGAACCTACTGAGAAGAACGCAGAAGCGCGGGTAATGCCAGAGGCAGTCGAATTCGTCGAGCAGCATGGATCAAACCAAATGGGTTACGCGCTAACCAAGGTAAGAGGAATTTAAGTGCTGTGACGTGAACGGGGGACTCGTCTAGTATGTCAGTCACATCGTTTCAGCAGATGCCACATTGATTCTTACGGTTGGTCCTCGGGGGCGTCTTTGTGGGGGCTCACGCCCTGACCGCATGTCAATGGCTCGGAAGCGTACTGCCTGCTTCATCTCGTTCCTAAGTTGGAATCGTGACAGAAAAACATGAGGACGTCAGATTCACAACAGGAACAAGACAAAGCTGCATGAACGAACGAATGGCCTGATCATGTAACGATCTGCATTTGGAGATGACGCAGCCTGACGCAGTTCCGTTGTTGCAGCGGAAAGCGGAGCTGGCGCTTGCGGCCGCGGCGCAGGGCACCAGCGTCCCCCTCTTCATATACCGGATTGGGTTAGTGGTGGGTTCCACCGAAAACGAGGGTGCAGGTTCCGCCGACAACCTGTTCACGTGGCTAATTCGGGCGGCGAAAACGTTCAAAAAGGTGAGCCGGGTCCCGCTGTTTGTGATGCTTCTGAACCTTCTTGTGATGAAAAGGTCACGGCGTTGTTCGAAGGGAGACTTGTGTGGCCGAGGAGGGACTAAGTATGATGGTGGATCCACCTTCAGCGTTTGACGCGGTCAAATCAGGTGCTGCATATGCTCCCGTCCCATGAGCTTGACTGTCGTAATATGGTGCATCATACCTGAGCTCCAAAACCTCTGGCGTCCGTTTCTGAATATCGTAGTCTCTGAAACCAGGACTTGCGGAGGACTTTTGCTGCCTTTGCTCCGTCCAGGCGAATCATGATCGCAGCAGCCCTTTGAGAAGAATTGCCTTTTGAATGAAGGTTCATCAAGCTTCACTTTCGTGCACCTAACCAAAGAATGCGGCTGAGAACGGTGTTCTACAAGCATATCTTATCTGCAGCTTCCTCGCCTGGGACCCGGTGCGTGGATGGGCATCCCCGTCGACCATATTGCGCCGACTTTGGCTACCCTCGCCCTCCGCCCCGCTCGGTGAGAACCGCCCTTGCGCGATCAGTCCCTTTTTACTGTAAAATCTTCCCGATGATGCAGAGTTTCCGGTTTCGCTTCCCCGTCGAACGAGATTATGGAGCGCATGCTAAACGCAGGTGTAAGGAGTTGAGCAAGCTACGGATGTTCGCTGCTTCCTAAAGGCAGACGCGAACAAAGCGTTGCGGGTCGGCTGGAACGGATCGAAAATCAGAAGACCGACGGAAAGATGCTAGAAGCACTTTCTTGGTGGAAAGTGCCTACAGTAGCTTTTGTGCCTCGTTTCCGCTAGACATCCTTGCGCAGCCTCAGTAGAATTCTTGTGAGATGGGAATCGTCCGAGGCCGGCTTGCCGTCCATGGCACCTTAGGCCTTCCCCCTTACTGATTTGCTTCTATTTGTAATCTGTCGGCTCGAATCACAGCGACTGGAACGGTCGTAACGGTAGAAATGTGGCTAATCGTGGGCGGAAATGTGTTCTTCCAGGTCTGAGACTTCTGACGAGCTCCCTGTCTACCACCTGATTCCGTTTGCGCCTCAGAGCTGGGACGACATCTATTAGGTGAGACACGGCTCTGAGGTTGAAACTTATTTGACTCGTACAGTTTCAGGGGCTTAGGTTTCAGTGATTCTTCCTTACACCTCAGCGGATTAGTGATCGCATACTGGTCAGCTATGCTGAGTGGGAAGGGGTTTGAGGGAAAACCTCTCTGGTCACGTTTACGATCAGAACCACACCGGCCAAGCGCCCAAAGATTCTACTTGATTCGCGTTTCGTCTTCCTTGCTCAAACTTGTTAGTTATGGGTGTTAAAGATAGAAATGGCCTTTCTCTTTGGAGGAATCCTTTCTGGGGCCGCGCTCTGCTAGAGTGCTGCACGATTATTGAGCTGTCTGCCATAAGGGCCAATGGTCGGCTTCACAGCCCTTCATTTCGAAAAGCCGATGCAAACCTGCTGTAAGAGAGTTGCAGTGCAACGTTTGCTCTCCTTTAAGCTACCGATCAGAGTTCTCGGGGCCTCCAGCTGCCACCTGCCTTTCATAGAAGATTCGGCTCATTGCGCTGCTCAAAAACTGGCAGAAGTCAGTCGGTTGTACCTCCGTTCTGCGCAAGAGACTCTAGTCTCTGTCAACTGTGCTTCGCATTTCAGTATGCTTGCCTCAACGTTATACGGCTTTTTTCTCGCTTCAACGATAAGTCGCCCTTTTCCTCGACTAGCTCACGAGTGTCTTTCGTGTCCTAGACAGGCGATGCACTGCAGCGGGCTTCCCTTCGAGACCGTCTCCTCAGTGGCTAAGTGGGCTGCGGACGTCCGAAAGGCAGCGGAGACGGATCGCAAGTTCACGCAGTTCCTGCCGCTGATACCCCTGCTGGAGGTGAGGCGTAACGCTTGCGTCGCTTCGAGACGACGTTACCGGACCATCCCTCTGGCTGCGTACGTCGTTCCTTCTCAAGGCATGGCCAATTCTTCTTTCCCGCAAAGACCAGGCCAATCACGATCGAGTCTCGGGAATGCAGTTTTTCAAATGCGTTCATAGATAACAACAAGAGCTAGAATTTCCAGCTAGAACCCAAGGGAGTACGACTGCAGAAAATTTGTATCTCGGTTCGCGAAGAATCTTAGTGGTATCAAAGATGTGCAAAGCCGATGCAAGCCATTGTGAACGCAGCAGTCTTCTGTTTGCTGCAGCCATTGAATTTGACTTCGACAAAACTTGCTGTAATCAACAGGCCAACGTTGAGCCATCCAGTAGCTGGTCTGATGGGCCGAGCGGGCCAACATCAAGCCTTGCATATTACAGCCAGGGTGAAGAAGAGGGCTCAGTTCGATTCTGACATCTTTTACAGGGAATCCCTGAAAGGCAGTTCCCCAGCTTTGCGACGGAACGTACGCGCCACGAACTAGAGGTGGGTCCCTCGTCCTGAGGTCTCAGGCGCGCACGTTAACGTACAGGTCTAGCTTGTGTATCTGATGTACCTCGCCGCCTGAAAAGTTCTCTTTGGCAAACAAAATAGACGCAAAGAACTTGTTTGACCGGCCTAGCCGCAAGCTAACCCGGCACGGCAATCTGTCCAAGCGCTGCGATGGGCTGCCGGGCACTCCGAGTCGCCCTTCGCACGTTCCGGGGAATCCCTCCACGTTCCAAAGCCTTTTTCAGTCTGGGGCTTCGTAAGCAGCCATAGGACATACATGCCCAAACCATTTCAATATACGGAGATGGAGACAAGTTGGCCGTGCGTTTGTTGATGGTCCATCAAGAGAAGATGCGACGAAGTAATTGTGCACTCGCGATCAGGTCTGAGATGATCTGAGCACTCTCAAACTTCGAGAACGTTCTCGTGCAGATGGCGGGAGCCAGATTGCCGACGCTCCTGGGTGCCGATAAAGTGAAGCTACTCTTGCGAGCGGTTGCGTGACAAAGCTGTAAGCTTGGCCTTGCCTAGTCGTGGCTCTTTCACTTGATAATTTCTTGACTCGTTTATAAGGCTGTCCGTGTCTAACCTCATTCGTGTCTGTCGGCGAACCCTGCTTGTGAGCCCTGCAATCGTGCATACTCGCTTGCTTCGGACCTTTGATGAGAAAACTTCGGTCGCCGTGGATCCTTGTTACAAGGACTTCTGAGGATCTAACCTGAGGACTTCGACCCGGGATCGTTTACCCGCATTCAAATGTTGATTTGGTCGTGTTTTTGCAGTCACGAGCATGGAGATGGCGCTATGGCGGCTCAACAAGGCTCAAGACGGAAGTGTTTTGCTAGCTGAAACGAAGTAACGCGTGAGGCCGGACGATATGGGAGGATCAGCTGAATCGTTCATCTGTTAGATCGGAGGGTTAGAAGTAGTAGCCAAAGTAAAGGGTAGATTGCTTCTTGCTAAGAAGATGCGTATTTGTGTACAAACCTGGGTGTGTGGATGGGTAGGAGAAAAGGCCAGGCTGGGGGAGTTTCTTAGTCCTTGTCGATAATCCGTGTCGGTGGGGTTTCTGTCTTGCACCTACTATGTTCTAGACTCGCCGTATAAGCAAGGGTAGCAGCAAAATTTGAAGTGGACAAGAATTTGGCTGTCTCGCAGTGTTCTGAAAGATGCGACTCGAAGAGGGTCCTTGGAAGTTAGTACTTGAAGACTGGAAAAAGAAGATTTGACAGAAGAACATCTCGAAGTCTAGCCGGAAGGGGATCTTCAAGCTTGCAAAAATGTTGTGTGGAGTAAATAAAGTTGCTTTGGCTGTCCCAGAACTGCTGACGTCCTCCGCAAGCTGATCCTATTTACTTAACATGGTCAACGTTCCTCGTAAAAGTGAGTGATTGGATGTTGACGGCCCGCGTCGATTATGTCATCACATGGGCATCTGATCATCGGATCTCTCAAACTACGATTCGTGGATGTCAAACCAGTGGTTTAATACGTTCGTCAAACACAGCAAATTACAGACGGTAGTGCAATTGATGCGCCCTCGGAAAGCGCTCACCGCGGTGCGACGGGCTGAAGCAGGTACAGCGAGTTCGAATCCTTGCAAACTTGAGTCGGCGTATGTTTCGGCTCAGCTAGGTACCAGTATACGGTGACTGTAGAGTGTATGCCAGTGACCGTTTGACGGCCTTGGCGACTGTCCGTACGCCGGGCCGGGATGGTCGATCTTTGGCGATTTGTGATCTGCATCATGTGACGTGGATTTGTTCACCATGTTACGTCATACTGCACAGGCCACTGAATGCCGGGGATCTCGGCAACGGTCCGCAGTACGTACGATATGATCCGTTGTTGAAAGAAATTGAAATGGACCGTTAAATCTGGGTTCAGGGCCCCGGGGAACTTGGAAAGGTCGCTCAGGGCCCCGGGGCAGCGTTTCTGACGGGGCGCACTTTGGGGCGCATAGCGCCCCGGGGCAAAATCATACTGATTTGTCCGAGAATGGATGGATCTGGGCACATTATGCCCTCTTTTCCCAAAAATCTCTCGTAATTCATCTTCGATCCGATAGTTCTCGAGATTTCGGAACCGAGAACTGGCCCCTGTTGTTCCCCCCTAGCATTAAGAGTGGAGTTTCGCACGGCCTCACAGACTTGGCAAATAGAATTCTCATCACATGGCCGGATATAGACATTTTACGAGAAGACTTACCTATTAATCATATGTTCCGCTGCATAAGAGCAAATAAACTAGGCGCAAAGCCTATTCAAACTGGGAAAAACAAATATCGGAAAATAGCCGCTTTGACCTGGGAGCCCCAAGAGGTGGCCGGGGCGGCCCCGGGCAAAGGCCGGGGCGAAGGAGGCGCCCCAGGGTAAAAATTGCTAGAATCGCTGCCCCGGGGGCCGGGGCCCGGGGAAGGTCTCACAGCGGGGAGCGGGCTGCGGCGCGAAAGAAAGTGTGAACCTCCTGTTACCTGCATGTCATGTTCATCGGCTGACGTGGGGGCCGGGAGAACACATGTAGAGATAGGGTATGGCCGGCAGAATCCTTGATCCATCAATTAAAGCAACCTGTGACGGGATATATGGTGCAAGTAGCGGGATATATGGTGCAAGTAGCTACACCCGTGAGTCGCCGTGACACTACCGCACGTACTGACATGACTCCATACGCACAGTGGTCACATTATGATTTGTGTGACGTACCCGGAAGGGTGCGCTGAGCGCTCCCCGCTGTTATCATGGGCCGTTACATAGTTAGATTCTCGGTATCCTCACGTACCTACTCAGGCTCAGCCAAGCACACAACCGTATGTACCTCAAAATATCAGTAGCCTTGGCCACCGACCAGCCATTTGGATACTAGGATTCGGCCACGTAAGAGCTGCTAGCTAGCGCCCGGATCAGCACCAGCTGACTCTTTTTGAACCTGTGGTACTGTGGTTCCCATGCGCTGGTATCAACCGGCAGCTGGGGAAACAGTGCTACCAAATATATAATTGCTTCGCGTTGAACTCACCAGTTGTAATACCGGTAGTTCAAGCTCAAACCGGAGCAGAGCTTCCAGAGAGTTGAAGCACTCCAACAATTTGGTTAAGGTTAAGTTACTTAGCCGTTCTTTGCGAGCCAGCGTGTTGGTCTGCAGCTTGATCTGTTCCGGGGTCGACCAACACGCAAGTAGCAATCTGTCCTCCTGAAAAAGTCGCAGACAGAGCTAAAGGTGAGTTGTTTTCGCTCTTGGAGCCGGGACTTCAGTGTTTCATATTGCGTGTGCTTCTGCTTTGACATGGTTTGAAGGACAGTCAATGCCATGGCCTGACAGCATGTGATCTGATTGTCAGTATGCTGTGCCCCAACTTCTAGTGACCCTTTATGAGTTCTGCATTAGTAATCCCCATATTTGAGCATGAAATGAATTAGTAATTTTGGATTTGTGCTCCCGGTTCCTTCAGAATTTTGTTTGCTCTTCTGCAGTATCATGAATGTAGCCCAGAAAGCAGATTTTTACCTTCCCAAGGATGGAGCCAAACAGTCGCTTAGAAGACAGTGCAGCTTTCTGAAATGCTCGGAGAACACTTTTCAGAGGGTCCTCAAAAGTGGGCTGCAATAATGCTTTGAACTTAACCCAGAGTGTGTGCGCCCCATTTGCAACTTCCAGATCATACCTGCTGGTCCTAACTTCCAGGGACTCGTCGACGGAAGATCCAAAAAGTTCCCCGTAAGCAAGCACGCCTCTGTTCTCTTGTGTAGGGGTGCAGAAACTCAAAAATCCAGCTCATTGGCTCCAGCTGTTCCTATTGAACCTCTCACATCAAAATGTTGATTCTTCTCTTCTTGTCGCAGGTTTCCGGCTGATCTTCCAGATCTGCAGAAATGGCCCCTCAGACAGTCACCCCCAACACGAGCAACCCGTACAACTTCCCGGTCTACCCTGCGGAGGTGTACCTGACAAACGAGTTCTGGCTCAAGAAGATGTCCTACTTCCTTGACTACATTGACATTGACCAGAATGGGCAGCTGAGTCAGAACGACAAGGATCTCTGGGTGACAAGGTGAGAATGTCTCCAGCTCCGATTCCATCATCAAGGCAACTTCTTCCAACCGTCAAATGCTGGCTGTTTGGCGCCAACTTGTTGCGGCTTCTTGTGCTACTGTCAGCTGATCTGTTGTTTCCAGCTGTCATCATGTTGTTGAATCGACCTCTGATTAGTGGCACGCATGAGCACAATGTTTTCGGCCTGTCTAAGCTAGCAAGGTCGCTCCCTTGAGGGCGCAGATCTGTTGACAGGGGCCTTCCCAGTGCTCTTGTTTGCGACTCTCTCGCTTCCAAAAACTCACAATGTATTGCGCAAGCCAAACAAAACCCAGTTTCTGCCTCCCTACATCTTGCAGGATCTGAGGAAACTCATCATCCTGGCAGCGCAATCCCCTGTGGGAGCCCACGTCTCATTCTGAATCTCAAGGTCATCCAACTTCGGAATCTGAAGAGTGGTCCCATTCCAGCCTTTGTTAAAAGTTTTCTTACCACTTCCATCAGCTGATTCAATTCGAACAAAAAAGGCTAAAGTCACCTGCTTAGGTTCAGTGTTTGTTCTCGCTGTCGTCACGGGTCAAAAAATGCTTCGTTTACGTTCGAATGCAAACAGCTTGGGCTCTTGTCCTCTCTACAGGACCATTGCGGAGATCTCCAAGCCTCTGAGCCCTGAGGAGGTGCAGGCTTTTAAGACCGGGGTGGATCACGCCTGGGAGTGGTACGGCCTCATGCCCGACGGTCCCCCAATCACCAAGAAGGAAAGCATCAAGCACATGGCGGAGGTCACATTGCAACCCGGTTGTGTCGAGCATATCAAGACGATCAGTGACAGGTGGTTCAACGTAAGTGCGTCAAACCTTTCAGGTCTCAAATTTTGGAGCGTTGTCGCTTTGCTGCGTTTGAAAATGGTCACGATTGTACAGAAAGCTCCATTCTGCTGTTTTGCAGCTCGTCATGTGAAAAGGCGCCAGTAAACTTCGGACTTGGCATGATTTACCCAAGAAAGAGCCTAGTCCTCTGGCTCTGCCATGCCCAAAATCCTGAAGAAGGCAAAGCTTCAGTGTTGCCAAGCCTGCTCTAGGCCAAAAACCGGCATACACATCTTGGCTTGACATTTGAGAAGTTTCTTGTCTATGCAGCTGCTTGACAAGTACCAAGCAAGCTCAATCTCTCATGACATCTGATTCATCTTCCGTATATGTGCGCGCGCAGCTGCTTGACGAAGACCAGGACGGCGTTGTGAGCTGGAAGGAGTTCCTAAAGATGCAGAAGGGCGTGGGGCGCGACCTCTCGGCCGACGCCAAGGTGTGCTTCGAGGCGATCGACGAAGACGGCAACGGCGCCATCTCCAAGGACGAGTGGGGCGCGGCCGCGCGCGGGTTCTTCATTGGGATCGACCCCAAGTCCCCCTCCAGACTGTTCTGGTGCGACTTCGACAAGGTGGAAGCGAGCGTTGAGGTGCCGGCGCTCGCCTGAAATGTGTAGAGCTGATGGGTTCAGGCTTGCGTACGTGAAAAAGTTGTGCAGTCGGCCACCTTTTGGAGAACACATGATAGAGCCTCAGACTCGACTTGCTTGATTTTGATCAGCGGGTTGCTCGGTTCGTCAAATAGCCGGACGAGGGCGACTTGCCCCTCATTCGAGCGTTTACAACTACAGTTGACATGCATGCAATGCAAAAGACTGCCAGAAACTCAGTTCTGATGTATACATAGACAAGAGTCGTTCAAACGTGAATAAGTGAAGTATTTTACAGGGATGTTTGTGTCAAAACAGCAGTCATTCTATTGATATAGCTCGATTCGTGGTTTCTTTGCATACAAACTCCACATCGCTTCTTCAGCAATGGTGCTCAATTACCCTCTTATCAGTACACGTTGGAGCAGCAGTCGATCATTCCGTCGACAGTTGCGGGAATGTCGTCCAGCTCATAAGCTAGTGCAGCTTACTGCATCAGTCGATTAGATTGTCTGATTATGCATAACCCTTCGTGCACTGAATACTCGTAATCCCAGGTTTACGAAGTGCAAGGTGTATGACATTACCGCAGATATTACAATGGTGGTGATTTCGTTTCACAACCGACCGTTTTACCGGGAGTTAGTTTTGTGACCCGTAGAAGCAATCCTATGTGATTCGTATTAGGGCTTCGCATGCACATACGAGAACCATTAACCATGACGTCAAAGTCGACAAGCAGGCACGCATGAAGTGTAGTACAATTCGAAAATATAACAAAGAAATCAGTCGAGGTCTTTGATTTCCTGCGAGCAGCGTGCAAGTTGTTTCTTTCTACGACAGTTGGATTAATCTATCAGCGCCGGGTGTACTGCCGCCTGAATGATGAACATATCTAAGACGGATTGCTGAGGACTTTTGAGACACGCAGGGCGGTTGATTGAATCTGTCCGGCCGGATAATTTCATGAGCTAGTGTTATCAGCCGACCGCTTGCACAAGTAGCCTCAGCTCGTTGGCACTCAAGAGGGTCGGCGTATTCACTCCGGCCATCTGCACAAGGAAACTGTTCGCTGTGAGAGCGCCGGGTTGAGCGTCGGATCTCCCATTTGATTGCGAGCACGGGACGCAACGCTTAAAAAAGAGCGTTCTTTGGTGAATTCAACTGCTCTATTTCGATGTCCAAATTGTCGATGAAATCTGACGGACCAGATCAAGGGACTAGGCCTTCTCTGACCCCGGTCCCATACACTGCGAAAAAATCACTGGGACAAGTTACGCCCGCAAAGAACTACCCCAAATGAATAGGAACGAGCAAACTTTTGCAACTGCAGAAGTCTACGGTGTTTTCCTTGAGAAGGGTGATCGCCGGGCATGCAACTGAGCGCTCAAAGAATTGTTCCTTTGCGGCGGGGCCGCGGCGGGCGAGGTGATTCCGCCTAGCGGGGTTTCAACGTGTAAGCCATTCACAAGGCCTGAAAGCTTGTCCGAAGCAGATTCAAATAAAAGTGCCTTTCGGACCAAGTTCGGACCGTTTCGGATCCAGTTCGGACATCAATCGGACTAGTCGGACATGTGGCAGTGTTGTTTCGGGCCTGATTCAGGTCAGATTCGGACCCCGTTCGGACTCCGGTAGCCCTTTGCATATGAAGAAACTGGGACCCACCTTCAGTGCGCGGCGCGTGCGCTCCGTCGCAAAGCTGGGGAACGGCCTTGCAGCGAGACCCTGTAAGGAGAATCCCGTGTAAAAGTGAGGCACCAACTAAAACGTGGCTTCGAATGCAGGGCCTTGTTGTGGTCCACTTCGCCCGAGAGACCGGCCAAAAGAAAGCTCGGCATTGCGGGCTGGCTGCAAAACAGGGCCTCGTTAGTTTCTAGTTTGAAGATGGAAACAAGGTGGCAGGAACAGTATCGGATTCCGTCCATCTCGGCCTGACCTTACGCAGAGAGCAAACCTTGCAGCTTGGCTTCGTAAACCCTGCCGCACAAGGACTGAACTCCATATTCGGTCTCGCCGAGGCGATCGTCCGAAAAACCATCCATGTGCAGGAAGAGCGGTGCGGTAACGTTTGTTTAGACGTGAGAGAAAGCGTTACGCCTCACCTCCAGCAGGGGAATGAGCGGCAAGAACTGGGTAAGCTTGCGGTCCGTCTCCGCTGCCGTTCGGACGTCCGCAGCCCACTCGGCCACTGAACCGAGGGTCTCGAAAGGGAGCCCGTTGCTGCGCATCGCCTGTGTCGAGCATAAAAGACTCTCGTCAGATCAACAGAACAAAGGCGGCTTGTTAGAGGGTACGAGGAGCCCGTAACAGAGAATAGCCCAAAGCTGCAGGGCACATTCCAACTCGCTCGGGGTGTCGTGCACCAAAACGGGTTTGAGGACGAGTGGCGACGTGTGCCAACGACAAGGAGCGCGATAAGCACCAACTTTTGAAAAGAAGTCAGGTCCAACGACGATGATGAATCTGACTGGTTCAAGCGAACCTAAGGACTGGACAGAATGCAATCGTTGACTTTTTCGAAGGAAAAGTGAGGGTCGCCGGACTCCGACCCTAATGGGATAGGGCTTACCTCATAGATGTCGTCCCAGCTCTGGGGCGTGAACGGAATCAAGTGATAAACGGGGAGCTCGTCCGGAACGACCCTGCGGAGAAACAAGTCGAAACTTCATTAAGGGAGTTTGAGAAAATCCATCATGCGCCTTCTCGTTCTGGCACTGGGTTGGGAAGACCACAAAATCACTGCGGCAGATCGCACTAGTGAGTTTCTTCAGTGAGGCCGAGAGCCTTGAACGTGCGATAGACTGCTCTCGCCACATAATTACTCCCATTTCAATTCATTCGGGCACTCACAACCGTAGATTCTAAACCATAAATCTACGCGCTCCGCACCCAAACGCACCCTAATCACGCAAACCATTACGCCCGAACCTACCCAACCAGCCCCACTCGGCACCCGGGTGCTTATCTTAAGTGAGTTGCCTCTTATGTGCTGTGCGAGATATCGAAGTGCACTCACCTAGTGTTGCGAAGGCAGAGGGTGGCCCACGTGGTCGCCAAGTAATCAACGGGGATGCCCATCCACGCACTCGGTCCCAGGCGAGGAAGCTGCACAAAACGTTTGCTTATTGAGCATCTTTCTCAGCACGGCTTCTTTATTAAAAACTCACAAGAAGTCAGCTTGTTGGAACGTCATTCTTCAAGCGATCGCTCCGTTTGACAATCCTGGCTCACGATTCACCTGAGGGAGGAAACAGGGATGAAGATACTCTCCCGAAGTCCTGTATCGGAGCACGCGCAAACATAAAAAATGAATTCTCTCAGTTCCAGTAGAAGAATCAAAGCTTGGGCAGGATGCAGAGTAAGTGCAAACGGGAGTCTCAAGCTCACGGAAGGCCAGTACGTATAGCAACTTTCCAAATCATTAGACGCTGACGGCGGGTCAACTTCCCCCTTCGGCTCTACAAACTTCGCCACAGGCAACACGCATGACTTTGACGGTCACCGCAAGACGACTCAGTAACGTCAGAGTCAGCGAAGGCAGCTCACCTTTTTGAACGTTTTCGCGGCCCGAATCAGCCACGTGAACATGTTATCGGCGGCGCCCAACCCGTCGTTCTCGGTGGAACCCAATGCTAACCCGATCCGGTAGATAAAAACGGGGACGCTGGTGCCCTGCGCCGCGGCCTTAAGAGCCAGCTCCGCTTTCCGCTGCGAGAATGATAATAGTCAAAGGAATCAGTCAAGCTCCTTCACGTCCAGTCGCACATGGGGGAAGCTCAACCGCGGCCGAATAGTCCCGTTCATCGCTTTTGCAGCCCATTTCTATGTTTTGCGCGTATTCGACGTGCTCGGGTATGCTTTCAACTTCGGAAGGTAGAAGCACGCAGTAGAACGCCCAGTCATCAACAAGGCGACAAAGGGTGAGTCGCGTCAAAACATGAGCCACAACAGAAAGGATCCGAGGGACCAAACGCTGAGATTATTCCATCACGCAAACTTGCTAAGGACGTTATTGTACTCGGCTTCGACTGCACTAGCGTCAACGTAATAGCAGTGCCGTGACTTCATCCCTCACGAGCGTGTTTACCTTAGTTAGCGCGTAACCCATTCGGGTTGCCCCGCGCTCCTCGACAAAGTCGACTGCCTCTGGCATGATCCGCACTTCTCCGTTCTTCTGAGTTGCTCCCAGTAGAAAGCTCACCGACACGCTGAGACGGAAAGCGGAAACGTTTCCTTGAAATCATGACCGACATAAACGAGCTTATGTTCTATCTATTCGGATAAGCTTTACATGCCTCTGAAGGATTGATGCACAGTCTGTGAACGAAAAGGCAAGAGAACACGTGGTAAGACGCGCTAGAACAATGTGCAATACTCTTCGCATGTATCAAATTTTAGTCACGGATTAGCAAGGACAGGCAAAGGCATGCGCACCGTTGCGGAGACAACAACAGAGCCAACAGAGACTAAAGGAAAGAGAGTCGAGCTTTGTGCAAAGTAACCGACTTTGAGCGGAAGGTGAAGGTTGGAAGGCTTACCTGGATGCGAAGTGGACGGGCTTTGGCGGTCCCACCCCTTGGAGGGCGAAGCGAATGATCTCTTGCACACTGCATAGCGCACGTCCAGCTGTCACTCTTTCAGACACCACAAAGTCTGACGTTTCCACGACCCAAGAAAACTCCCTGTCTGTTTTCATCAAGACAGGTCCTGAAACCTTTGTATTCACGATGCACAATTGAGGTGATGAACGTTTCGGTCGACAGCTGCCTCTGGTCTCGGATCAAGCTCACATCACAAGCCAAATATATGAGTTCTGCTAGAATTTATCCCCTGCAACGCACCTTTTCTCATTAGCTTCCGCGAGCTTTTCGTACTCTGCGGTCAGGTGCACGGCTGCCCCGCAGTGGATCACGGTGTGAACGCGCTCCCCCCAAAGTCGCCAGTCGTCGGGAGTCATCCCCAGGAGCGGCTTCTGCAGGTCGCCGGGCACAACGACCACCCGGGCGCTGTCGGGCCAGCAGGAAAAGGCACGTTTCTTTATGTTAGCCAGAAAGTTGTCCCTCTTTTTCTGAATCAAGGACAAGGAGTTTAGAACTAGTACGGTCAACGATTGCCCCCGCCTTGAGTTGCCAATTCTGCGAAGATACCCACGAGGGTCTTTGGAAAGAACTCGGGCAGGTAAAGCTAGTCTGATTAACATCCCTTCGCAAAAGGATTCGCATAAGTTTCCATCACACTTCGCTGAAAGAACGGCCCCAAATCTTGTCGAGGACGAAACGGAGAGGGCCGAAGTTGCTATCAAATATCTCTCCAGGTCCCGGCTCATCTTCTCTCCCAAAGTCGTTCAAAATGCCTCATCAAAAGGTGTGTTCAACAGAAGGGACACGGGCATTCCTGGCCCTCTCCCATAACTTTTCCTCACCCGGTTCTGGACTTGAGGTCTTTGCCCGCACGCAGCAGGGCTTGGTGCAGCCGGGCCTGGCAGGCGGCGACCGAGGGCCCGCGGACCAGGCACACCACGGTCGCCACTTCGTCGGCGGGGCGGCTCAGGAGATCCTGCAAGGTGGGAAGTTCGGTGTTCGGTAGAGCTTTGAGGTTTTTGACAATACGAGCTCCGAGTGATCGCCATTGGCAAGCTTATTACGACAATTCAAGGATTGAATCTACAGAGAGTGGGGTGATTTGTTCTTCAGATAAGCAGACGGACTCGGAGAGGACTGCTCTCACGCTGTTTTTTCCTGATTGCGCTACTTACGCTGTAAGAAGACGCGTTTTGCGTGCAGAACAGCGGCTGGAATCAACCGTCTCGAAATTTGCCAATCATTTATTGGCAGTGGGTTGGATACTTATGCTGGCTTGGTCGACATTTCTTTTGCCCCGCTGAACTCACCTTCAACACGTGCGAGCCGATGAATCCAGTAGCGCCCGTCAGAAAGAGGAAAGTTCCCTTGCCCTCAGGCGCAATGCCGTTGGGGCTGTGGTTAGAATTGGTACTGGGGACCTGCAAAAGGATTGCTGAAAGTTTGTACCCCATCCATTTTCCTGAAAGACAGATAATAAGCAGATAATCAGAAGGTTAAGGCATTTGGAAACAGAAACTGCACATGGAAAACGCCAAGCGCGATGCATACGAGGCCCTCTCCTTCAGACAGTCGAGACTGACCCTCATTGTAGGAAAGAAAAGGGTCCTATTGTCACTTTCCCTCGTCAAGGAAAGAAAGGCCCTTTATTAGGGCCTCCCCTTTGCTAGGAAACATTGATCTTTTTAAGGAAATGGGACTAGCTCCCTCCGCTGAGGTGACTGCTCTTACCGCCCCGTTTGATCGCGGCGCGTGCTCCGCCTCGGTTTGCAAGGCGGCGGTCGCCCACTCGGCGAGGGCGACCACGTCAGGAACGTCCTCGTACAGCATGGTCGCCGGGAAAGGAACGCCCACGTACTCAGCAATTGCCTGCACCGAAATGAGAAGCGCTTCAGATCTGCAAGTAGAAATTGGGTCACTGTTAAGCTCAATCGAGCGACCAAAGACTAGAGCAAAGGAGTTTCCGTTCAAAAAAGTCTTCGCTGAATCAAGGGAGGCTAATCGCACATCAAACGAAGAGCTTCGAAGCGGTCAACGCGAGACTCTCCTCACAAACTTGATCTGCCAGGTTTTGAAAGTCGGACGACAGCCTATACCGGCTGAATGTGCAGATATCTGTACGTGAGTAGACTGGAACTACCTGCCAGTAGCAATCTCAACGCTTTGGAAAATTCTGTACAGCAATGTTGGGCGCTTTGTTTGGCCCGTAAATATAAGTTTCCGGAAGATCTCACTTGGGCTAGCTCGGTTGCTGTCAGACTGCTGAGGCCTAGGTCCAGAAGCCGGGGCGGTTCACCGCCTGGCTGAGCGTCCAGTTCTCGAGCATCTAGCCCCAACACTTGGGCGGCTCTTCGGCGGACGGTGTCCAAAACTCTGTCGTACGCAACTACCTTGACCTGCGAGTATCGGAAAGACATCTTCTCACGTTCGAACATTATCCACTACCTTCCTAAGTTGGTTCAATGACACGTTGAGAAACTTGTCACGTTCGAAGTGGAAACGTCGTGTCTATTACTGCTCAAATATGGGAATCATTCCGTCCAGATAGGAAGCGCTTTGATGACGTCAGCTCCCATTGACGGGTAATGATGGATCTTTGAAGACAGACACTATCATTGGCGCAGGCCTTTCACAGATCTGAGACCGGAAATGGAAAGACCGTCACTTTCATGCACTGACTTCCAGTGAGATGAGAGCATTGCCTCAGCAGAAGAAGGCGGTCGACTTTTGCAATACAAGGGATGGCACACGGCATGAGCAGGCGCTCGAATGAAGCTCAACCTTTGCATTTCAGCAACACCGACCTTCGTGTGTACACCGTTCGCCACCGGAAGGACAGACTTCTGTGGAGGCGCTTCAAGACCCGCGAACATAGCTGCCACGTGGCTCTTCAAGAGCTCGTTCGCTGGGCCACGTGCTATCTCGCCCTTGACGGTCCGCGGGAACGTGACCTATGAAAATAGTCATTAGAAGGCATCTCTGTGAGGCGATCACCCACTTTTCTCCCACGCAGTCACCTCCTTCTGCACAGGTATCGCTTTACGTTGAAATCTGACTTTTGCACAGCGCGAAGAAGGTAAGTCGCTCTATTTCGTCCTCCTTTAAGGACTAGTATTTGTCTCCTGCATCTAGACCGCAGCTAAACCGACACGTCGAACAGCCGAGGTCACAATCGTGGACTAGATAAGCTTGAAGCAGAACGAATCCTTTGGGGTACGAACAGCACAATCCATCACTTTTCTTCGCCGTTTCCACACTTCGGAAACGGCGAAGTGTCAGACCGCTTAGCTGCAGAAGCCACAAGCTTCGGAGCAGATTGAAGCCCCACCTCTTCCGAATCCTGTGGCGAGAGAACGCAGATCGCCCCTCGCGCGACCCACGAGCTGGACGGCATCTTTTTGTTGATTGCCTGGATCAACGCCCACACCTGGCCACGGACCCACTCCTGCAAACGACGACTAGTATCAGCTCGTATTCGAAACACTCGACAAAGCTCGTCTGATTGACCAGAGGCAGCCTCAAAACGCTCTGAGTGGACGGAGACTGGCCCAAAGCTGAGAACTTTGACGGATGGGAAATCAAACAATTGAGAGCATGTCGGTGAGTACCGGTGCGATGTGGGGAATCTCCTCCTTTGGAATCTTTCTGGAGAGCTTTCGTGTACTCCGGGAGTGTTCTGCAGAAAGTCGCTTGTGAAAGAGGCGTGCTGCGGTAGCGGAACCAAGTCAGCCAGGTAGGAGCTTTAAAGAGCTCAACCTCAATAAGGGAGTGATATGAGAGGAAGTGCTACTTCCACAGGGTTTCTGGTGGTTAATCATGGTCGGTTACGGGCTGCTTAGAAGCTGACAATATGTGAACAAGACGGTAACAAGGATAAAGCCGGCTTGTCTGTCCTTTAGACAGACTCAAGGCCAGTACATCAACCAGGTTTACAGCACGAACCCTCCTGCGAAGGCCTGTAAGACGTCAAAAAAGTCACAGAACAATTGAGACGGAAGCGCTTATCAGCCAAGATAGGACAAGACCGACGTACCTCCTTGCCTTGACCCACCGGTGTCAGCTGCTCCACTGCCGCCCAATCCGGTTTGACCACCAGCCCCGGCCGCGGGTAGCCGCTCCCCACCGCAATCACATCCTGCGAGCGACACGTGTCGTCGTAATCGTCACTTCTCCACACCAAGCAACGGCAGGAAATCGTTGACGGGAAATGGGCTATCCACTTGTTAATGTGCACACATTGGATAATTTGCGAGCGAAGGATGCTCACTCGAGTGCCCTTGTTTTCCTTGCAACTGTCATGCTGACGTCACCTTTAATAAACACACGCCTCTGTTTCGACCAGGGGGCGAGGATGACAAGATCCAAGCCTTCTGAGATCCTGGAACTATCACGATTTTTCCTTCTTAGCACTTTCCAGACGCTGGCGGGTACGCATCGGCCCTGGCAAAATCTGAACAATTTGCCAAACAAGCAGTCTTAACCTCGTGGGTTAGCAGTCTGACCTTGACAAACGGCAGCTCCTGGACAGCCCCCTCGAAGGCTGTTGGGTTGGTTTTCTCCCCGGTCGTGTGAACCAGCAAGTTGTCCGCACGAATTACGGACTTGATCCAAGTGAGGCCGTCCGAGGAATGTGGGTAGACCGTGAAGAGGTCGCCCGTTTGGTAGGGCTCGTCGGGAGACGGGGCGAGAGGGCGGATCTGTACGAAAGTTTGCAGTCAGAACAGAAGGTTAAGGGTACTTTACGGCGTAAGGCATCAAGGGCAGAAATAGGTCGCCGTCGGCACGTCGGGGGACGGGGCGAAAGGGCGAAACTGAAAGAAGGTTTGTAATGGTTTACGATAGGGTTTAGAATGAAAGGCATCAGAACGGGGGACTTCTGCAGGACCATTGGGCGTTCGAAGAGCAGCCTTCACGCAATGTTTCGTTAAGAGGTAGTCACGAGCTCCTCGTTTACGAAGGGAAGCGTGAGATACAGCAAGAGAAGAAAATAGTGGACTTTATGTCTATTGTGCATTCTTCCTCTTCGTCGATTTCGCTAATTTGCTGTGGGCTCTCACTGGAAGAGCGACAAGAAGAAAGATTTTTATGAAAATTATATACAAGCTGGATGTTTTGCCCCCTGTTCCCACCTTCATCTTCCCGGTTTCCCGATCCACCGACTGTAAGTAACCCTGCGCCATCCCCGGGAGTGTGGCCATACCGCCGAGGATGACGTGGCCAGGTACGCGGCTCTCCACAAACCGGATGTGATCTGCCCACCGGGGGCCCGCCAGTCTGAAAGCACTCCACGTAGGCCCCCCCCCGGGGAAGCCAAACGCCACGGCG